GCTTGAATATTCCCTTGTTTTTCACATTGCTTCGTGTAATGCTTCAGTTTGCAGGATAATTTAAAAGAAAACAGCTGTGAAGCTTTTTAGTGATCCCAATCGCTAATGCAAATAGGAAATCAGAATAATGCATCACGCAAGTGGAGACAGTTTTGACTATCTATGAGAAGCCACTTTTCAAAACAAGATACATATCATATCACATATAATAGGAGGGTAGTATATAGTTAGAGCTTTATTGGGCAAATGTGATAGCCCAGAAATGTCAGAGACTGCACATCAGCTTTGTACATGTAATGGTTTCAGTGAAAGTCAGGGTAAAATTAACAAGTCCTCATAGACATTTAAGTGTCTCCTGTGCTTCTTCATGTCTTGGATCTTCAGTGCAGGGTTGTTTGCCTGTGAATCATAGAATGCTTTGGGTTGGAAGGGACCTCAAAGCTCATACAGTTCCAACCCCCTGCCATAGGCAGGGACACCTTCCACTAGAGCAGGTTGCTCCAAGCACCATCCAACCTGGCCTTGAACACTGCCAGGGATGGGGCAGCCACAGCTTCTCTGGGCAACCTGTGCCAGTGCCTCACCAGCCTCCTAGGGAAGAACTTCCTTATATCTAATCTAAATCTCCCCTCTTCCAGCTTAAAGCCATTCATTGTCCCTTGTCCTATCCTTACAGGCCCTTGTCAAAAGTCCCTTTCAGGTATTGTTGGCCCCTTTAAGTATTGGAAGGCAATAAATGTGGGAGTTTTTTGGTTTTTTTTTTAATAGTAGTGCTGCTTTGCTGAATGATGGGATTTCAACATTTATTTTTATTCTGAAGCTTTGTTTGTGAAAAGCAGGTACAACAAAAGCTGAGGGATAGCTCTGTGGGAGAGCACTTGATGGCAAAGACACAAATCCAAGTCTACAGGTACTTCACTCACGTCACTACGGGAGCTCTGGCACTGGATGATCTTTCCTTCTCTCCCTGGAATTTCCCCTGAGAAAGCTTAGTCAGAGAGGCAGATTTGTCAGAATGATTCAAGGAAATGACTTAAGAGTTGTGAAATTTTTCTAGCTTCGTCTTATTGAAACCAGCAGGCTCAATTCTCCCTTTGGTTTTGCATCAGCGCTGCAGAATGCACAAGCACGAGGGAATCCTGGCTCCTTGGTGTGCAGGTCTGCCTCTTCTTCAGGGAGCATCCTATGCCTGACACAATGGATTGTAGGACACCCTGAGTCACTACTGGAACATAAAATATAATGGTCATTACAATATATGACTATTTATACACAGAGCCCTTGGGATGACTGAGTTTGAAAGCAGAAAACCACAAGTGCTTTTAACATCAAGACTTGTGCTGCTGAAATGGAGAAACAATGAGCTGCTGCGCATGCCATGGGCTACTGGCAGACAAAATATACCCCCAGATGTGCTGACCTTCATAGGGCTGTAAATTAAACAATTAAATGGAAGTTTTAGTAATAAGAACAATTTAGCATGTATAAGGTACAGCATAAAATTGTGCAATTGATGAAAAAAGAGAAAGTTTAACTTCTGAGTGGTTTGAAATCCTACCCTGAAGCACCTGAAAACATTAAAGCTTTAAATTTACACTCCTTACAAAATGCGTGGCTGCATGTAATGCTTCGTGCTAGTCTCTCTGGAACCCACCACATCACTCCATCACCATTTTGATAAGGAAAGAAACTTGGACCCAAGGATACAACCTGGCAGAGCAGGAAAACCAGGAGTGAAGAGGGACAGGGAAGTGAGACCTCCTGAGTCCCAGCCTGATTTGATAGGCACCTTCTCCTCTAGTTCTCCTGGTGGCATCTTGTCTCCCTAGGCAACTACAGATTAGAGAGGAGACAAAATAGCTTGATTCCAGAACTGGAAAGCAATGACTGGAGCTTCGATGTAGGGAAAATGTCAGGGAAAGACAGTGAACTAACAGTTGAAGCAGAGGCGTCAGAGGCAGGTGCTTCAGGTTCTATTTTTGACTTGGACGAGCCAATTTGCTTCTCTCTGCTTTGGCTTCTCCTCTGCAAGATGAGGATGCCAGCAGCTGCCTCCTGGGTGTGGGTTGCTTTACTGAGGCCAGGGTTGTCAAATCTCCTGTTCTGGATGATGCTCACTTGACCTCAGCTTTGTTCTCTGCATTGTTGCCTACATCTACTTCACTTGCATCTCTGCTGTGCTTTCCTGGACCTACACAGGGTGTAAAAGGCACACAGCAACATGTTTTGGAGCTGTGCAAGGTGGGACCTTCCTCTATTACTGCATGGCCTGAGGGCTTCCCCATGGCAACTGATAACCAAACAAGATGATGTGGGGGTCTATAGAGCTGGTAAAGTCCACTAAATGGAATTGTGGCCCTTGCATCTCTCTCTGAATTAGATACTATTGCAGGGCACAGGCAATAGATAGGTGCTGGAGTTGTGTCCAGAGACGGGCAATGGAGCTGGTGAAGAGTCTGGAGCACAAGTCTGATGGGAATGGTTGAGAGACCTGGAGGGGTTTAATCTGGAGAGGGCTCACGGGGGGACCTTATCACTCTCTACAGCTACTTGAAAGAAGGGTGGAATGAGCTGGGGGTCTGTCTCTTCTCCCAGGTAACAAGACAGAGCAAGAGGAAATGGCCTTAAGCTGCACCACGGAAGGCTTTCATTGGATATTAGGAACAATTTCTTCACCAAAGGGTGCTCAAGCATTGGAACAAGCTGCCCAGGGCAGCGGTGGAGTCACCATTCCCGGAGGTATTTAACAGATGCGTAGATATGGGGCTTGGGGACATGGTTTAGGGGTGGACTTGGCAATGCTGGGTTAACAGTTGGACTTGATCTTAAGGGTCTTTTCCAACCCAAACAATTATGTGATTCTCCGAGCCTGCTCCCTTATATCCCCATCTAATGTTAGCCCAGCTACAGCTCTGGGCTTTACAGCAGAGGGGTGGTGAGGGACAAGTGATGATTATCAGCCGGGCCCACCCTTCCTGGCTCTGAATGAATGAGTTTCCAAGGCTGCGGGTGCTTTCTCTTTGCTGCATTCCCCAGAAAATCCCTGGTACTTGGGCTATCCTTCCTTCCAGGAATCACTGCCAGCTCCTCCTGTCCTTCTATCAGTCAAATCCGCTACCGCGTAAATTCAGGTGTGCTGCGAGACCGTCTGCTCTCCGGAGCCCGGATCGAGTGTGGCGGAGCAGGGAGCCCGAGCACAAGGTGCACTTCTCGGTTATTTCTGATGTTAAAGCTCTCACGTTGAGGGCTGCGGCCGGGAGCCGCCTCCGCGCTGCCTTTCCACCCTCCCACCCCGCTTCCGGCAGGAGCCGAGGACCGGCAACCAGGAGGATCTCAGCGCGGGGCGGCCCCTTTGTTCGCGCGGGTCGCCGGGCCCGGCCGTGCCCCGGCCCGGCAGCAGGGAGGGAGGGGCCGAGGCTCGCTACCGCCTTCCCGCCGCGCTCCCGCCTCAGCCGCGCAGGGCGGGTCTCGGCGGCCGCCCGCCAGCGGCTGCAGCCTGCGGCGGCGCGGGGCTCCCCAGCCGCTGCCCGGGGGTAAGGAGGCAACAAAGGAGGGGCGACGGCCGGGGAGCGGGTCCGCGGAGCGCCCGGGAAGGGGGCTTGGCGGCGGCGGCGGCTGGAGCATTGCCCTTGGGCGGGGCGGGAGGCACCGTCCTGAGGCGGGTGCGGGCGGTGCCGCGGCCGCGCTGGTCCCCGCAGCAGCGCCGGAGGCTGGGTAGAGCGCGGCACGGAGCGGGTGGCTCGGGGGGGTACACACCCGCGTACACCCATCCGCTGCTGCAGCCTGGCCGCCGGGTGCTGTGCGGTGACGGACACCCGCCGGGGCAGCTGGAGCGGCAGGGCCTGTCGCTGGGAAGATGGAGCGGAGGGTGGGTGGCAGCATCCATTGCTCGAGGCCGAGCGAGTTTAGGTTTGAAACGGGGGAGAATTCTCTTTTGTCTGCGGGAAGCTGGACTGCTCAGTCTGCTCTCTGCGTTGTTGCTCTTCAGTGATAGAGATATCAGCATTAACTGTGTGCTGCAGGATTTGATGGGGTTTTGTCTGTTGTAGCAAGATGTGCTTCTGAGGAAGGCCCATCAGTGTTGGGCTGCTGTCATTTGCAGGGTGAATGGAGCAGGATGTGCCTCTTGTACCTCCTGGTGCAAATCAGTGAACGGTCTGTGTGGGAAAGCATTCAGGGATGGAGGCAGAGGCGTGTGTTATCTCCAGGGTGTCTAGGCAGGCTGCAGCAGCGTTAGGGAAGCGCTGGGAGACAAAGCACTGTGTCAGTGCTGGCTGTTACTTGCTGCTCTGTTGGTTGTCAGTCTCGTAGGCCTGCAAACCTTGTCTCAGGAGCTCATCCTGCTGGAATGGATGTCAAGTTTCACCAGCCCATCCGTTACTGCTGGCTAGAAGAGTTTCCTTGAGGGTGACTTGCAATTTGAGGTGTATTTGGGGTGCATGGCATGTGTGTTTGCCTTAGCCTCTGCCTAGCAGTGCTCCAGGAGGGCCCCTTTAAACAACACGGGTCAGTCCTGCCCCATCATTGCTGGGGAGGTGATGCTTTAAATGTGCTGCAGCTACCAATTTTTAAACTGAGATATGGGATTTGGCATTTTAAGACATTACCTGCCTGCTCTTACAGCCTGCCAGGGCTAGGATGGGGAGAGTCTGCATCAAACAGCTGTGTTCTCATGAAAATCTGTCACCGTGCCTGCCAGAAATCACTGAGAGTACAGGACTTCAAAGGCTCAGCTCTGAGACAAGCCCCACGTTCAAACCTTGGCACCAGCCATTATGGGCATATCAGAGAGAAGTTGTGCTGGCACCAGTCTGTCACCTCAGGAGCACTGATGTGTGTGAGGGGCCTGCCTTCATTTAAGGGGAAACCAGTGTGTTTGAGGAGATGTTCTTAAGATGTACAGACCGAGTTGTCTGCTGAGGCTGAGGATTGGTATGTGCTCCTCTTCTGCTCAGCTTCCTGCCGCCTCTAGCCTTGGAAGCTGCCATCATTTACTCCAGCAAGTAGCAGTTCCTGATACATTTCCTCTTTCTCCCCATTTGTGCTTCTGCTCTGGCAGAAGAAATGATGAAGAACCCAGAGGGGAATTTCCCAGTGTCAGGGGTGCAGCTGTGGAAGGGTACACGTGCCAGTTCTTCTTCCCTTCCATTACTTTTAACCATGGGTGGTTAAAATGGTAAGAGCACAGATTCTGCCTCCTGACTGAGGTTGCTTTTTTTATTTATGAAAATGCCTCCTTTATCCATGAAACTTAGGAGGAATAAATAGTTTGGGGGAGGGAGGGAGGTATCATCATTCTGGTGAGGATGAGAGACAATATATAAAGCAAGTTCCATCTGCCAGATGCAGGGTGTCAGTACCACTTTGTAGACTGTATACAATGCATGGCAAGGTTTATGTACTGTTAAAGCTCTGGGAAAGACGAGGTAGCTAGATCTGAACGTGGTTTGTTGCTAACCTACATTAGACACGGCTATGCACTAATTTAGAGATGTCTGTAGGTATTTACAGAAATGTTTTTCATAAACATCATTTATAAACACCTTGAACCCCGTTTCCCCTTCTATCTCACAAGGGGTCTGAGCACAAGAACAACCAAGGAAGTTGCTGATTTGAGGCAAGAAGGCATATTTTCCCCCTTCTGCTCAATTGCTGAGTTAAGAGCAGCCAACAGTCTCTGGCTGTGGTTCTCTTATCACTATTCTTTTGATATTTACAGTAGAATTTCAGGTCTTGTTGGGAGAGCACCTTGGCTCATGGTACTGGTGATGTCAGACTCCAGCAAGACTGGGACTTTGTTTTACTGGTCAATTTTCTAAACCAACCAGATTAGGTAATTTAATGAATCAAGATGACAAACTGTCTAAGCTTGCTCCAGAAGCTCAGGGCAGAGAAAGGAATTGGACTTGGTCTTCCTGAGTCCTACTCTAATCCTTCCTTCTCCATGGGGCTGGCCTTCCCAGGGAAAGCTCTGGTCTCTGTGACTGATACTGGTGGAGAACAGAGAAGTCTGTCAGTGCGTCGATGTACTAAGTCTCTTTCTGCAGTACCACCATGCTCCTGGAGCATCTCCCCTTGCTCTGCTGAGAGGACCCTGTGTGCTGTGTTGTGTGCTTGAGCTGCAGTGCTAAACAGGACAAAGCAAATTGACTTTCCTTGTAGCTGGATTTAATGTCTTACTCATATGACTGTGCAGTAGCTCTTGCTGTAGCTACCAGTGGGAAAATGACTTTGTTGCATGTGACTCTGAGGCTGGCACCTTAAACTGATAGTTACTGTTATTCCTGACAAACATCCTGAAGAAATGCTGTAAAACAAAACCAAACACCACAATAGCTCTGCTTCAGACTTTTTGGAAATCATTCCCATGCAGTGGCGTGGTTTTTATCTCCTTCTAAATGAGTGGAACTGTCTATACAATAGGCATGGTTGGTTGAGAGACAGTGTAAGCAAAGAAAGAGCAATGAAATGAAGAAATGGAACCAAACATTGTAATATATCGTTGTCATGGTTTAACTTATTTTACTTCAGCCCATGGTTGGAACTAGGTAACTTTCAAGGCCCCTTCCAATACAAATCATTCTATGATTTCATTCTATGATGGAATAAAATATGATGCTGACTTGAATTGGCACTGAAATTAGGTGAGCCTTTCCTTTCAGTGATTTATTTTATTATGCTTGTGTTTTCCCACCTGCATAGTTGTAGAGAAACGTGCACAGACAGTGGAATGCCCTGCTGTGGACTCTGAACCAGCTGTGAGGTCCCATCTCCCCATCCTCATCTGTGCTGAAGCACAAAGGAAGTCTGAAGTTCTTGTTTGGTTTATTTTGGGAGTTAATGTTCTGAACTCTGCTGTTGACTCCCTTGATAGCTCCATTTGTGCCTGGGAAAGCCAAATGCTTCTTTTTGAAAAGTATTTGTACTCTGTGTCTATAAACGCTTCAGAAAGATTTCCCAAGTCCTTTGGTGGGCTGGGTGTTCAGTGGTGCCTCATAGAGTCGAGCAGCTCTTCATCTCTGCTGCTGTTCCTTAAGTAATCTTGGGAAAAATCTGTTTTCTCTGTATTTCTTTCTCCCCACATGGGTGTTGCAGCTCTGAACTCCTTTGAGGTCTGTGAATTAAATGCTCTGTGGATGTTGGAACTTTTTAACCACTTCTTGGTGTTTTTCAGTCCCTTCCCTGTGCTCCCTCAAATGGTTCCTTTTAAAAAGATAATGTGAAGAGAGTTGTATTGCTTGGGCCAGAGCTCTCGCTGAAAATGAATTGTTTTGTTTGCAGTGGTGTAGTAAAGGCTGCATAGATGTTGGTTATGCTGGAAGGGCTTCACAACAAATTGGAATGACAGAGGCTCCCAAGAGATCACCTGTCCCAGGTTATGTCCATCTTCATCCTTGTAATTCAGGACAGAGGTTTGAGGATTTTTATTCTTAAAGAATGATGTGGGCAATGAGGGTTTTTCTCCAGCCTCCCTGGCCAGTCTAGCTCAGTTACAACTGCAGAGCATGTGTCTTCCCCTTTGTTTTGTTTATTGTCGTTATGGCTTTGTATATCAGCCTGTTACTCTACAAAGGACCAGTACAAAGGTGTTTCATTGACAAAAGCAACACAATTTCTTCTGCAGCATGAACTTCTTTGGCAGCACATCCTCTGGCGGGGCAGAGGAAGGCTTCCAAAGTGAGGCACCAGCTTCTGGCATAGGCACCAGCAAAGGCTTTCTCTGGCTGGTCTGTTCTTTTTCTTCCTTTGACATATTCCTCCCCCATTATCTGTTGTATCATGCTCTGAAAACTTCTGTGTCCGCCAATTAGTGCTGGAAACTTTTCAGCCATCCTGACAGGCACAAAAAGCAGCTGCCTGCTGAAACAAACAGCACTTCCCATCCCTTGCATCCCTCCCATTCATGACCTACAAGCACATCCCCTGGATGGAGAACAAACCTCTCTGGAAAGAGGCCTCTCCTGGAAGATGTGGAGAGGTCTTTATGTCATGAAATGTGTTTAATGGGTTTTTTAGCCTCGTATTTGACTGTTGTATATTGTGTGCTATATTACCTCAGTAGCTTCTGTCAGCCCTCTGTGTGAAGCCTATCCTGGTGATTAAAGGCTGCTCCTTAGCTATATTTAGCATAAAGCTATTTGTTTTATAACTGAGATCCTTACTACACTAACTGGAGTAGGTCAGTCTGCAACCTTGAATAAGTGCATTTTTTTTTCCTCTGGACTTCTGTTTCCCAGCTGGTAAGCTTGGCACGTTATAGCTGATGACCAATCCACCAGCCATCCCTAATGGAGATTTAATGAGGAGCAATATGGCACTGAAAGGCAGGCTTGTGTGGAATATACTGCTGGGGCAGGGAAAGCTTATGTTTTGCCTTACACTGTTCATCTTTTATGTATCTGTGTATGTAGTCTTGTAGTGGGATCTATGAAGTAGATTTTGAACTTGCTAAATCATAGAATCACAGAATGGTTTGGGTTGAAGGAGCCTTAAAGCTTATCCAGTTCCAATCCCCTGCCATGGAAGGGCCACCTTCCACTAGCCCAGCTTGCTGCAAGCCCCATCCAACCTGGCCTTGAGCACTGCTGGGAATGGGGCAGCCACAGCTTCTCTGGGCACCCTGTGCCAGCACCTCAGCACCCTCACAGAGAATCTCTTCCATAGGAAAGATTTCTATGTGTATGTATATTTATATGTATTTCTACTAAATGATATTGGCAGTAATACTCCTGCAAGTTTAATCATGATGTCTCCGAAGCATCTGCAAGCACTTTTTCCCTTTTTATCTCTGAATCCCCCCAAAGTGCTTTGCCTAGATGGTAGGAAGGTGTGGGAGCACTTCCAGCACATTGACATGCAAACGTCAAAGTCATATGGTACTTTTGGGTGATCATATGGTTCAGGTTTATGGAGTGCTTTGACACACTCTGCCTTAGGGTGCTGGCAGTATTGACTGTCATTGTTAGAAGAAGTTACAACTTGAATTTTGCTTTTCCTTTTTGATTGAATCAGAACCAGCCTGTGTTGGAGATGTCATGCCAGCACTCTGTGGTGTGATGTGCTTGGGCTGCTGCTTGTAGCTACACTTTACTTGCTTGGCTAGGTGAGATTATATCTTGATGTCTGTACAAAATCATGATTGTGGTCTTGCCTGCATTAGAGGAGAGATTAGTGACACTTTCTATATAGAAGCCTGTTTCTGTAAGGAGTGCAGGAGCATCTGGGGACACGCAATGCCTCTAAAGCTCTGGCTAGAACATGTAGTACTGCAATATTCAAAGAGTGTGGTGGGTTGATCCATCTGCCTACCTGCGTGCAGGCTGGGTTCACCCTGGCAGCTTCACTCTTATCTCCAGAGTTAGGAATTGTTACATCCCATTTTTAGCACTGATCCATCTGAACGGACCTGTTCCTTTTGGCTGCCAGCATCTGTGCATCAAACACTGCTGTTATGTGTGCTTCCCAATGGCATGGGGTAGTGTGTAGATAGGAATGCTGATTAAAACCAGGCTGTGGAGCAGTACGGCTCTTGCAAGGCCTCTGTTGCTGCTGGAGGAGGCTGGGATGGACAGTCTTTCCCAGATGTGTGCAGATGTGCCAACCTCTCCTATTCCTGCCAGCCCAGCAAGTCCCACTGCAGCACAAGGCAGGGCACCAGGCATGTTCAGTCTCCACACCTCCTTTGCAATCTGACTGTGTAGGATGGTGGTTGCTTTTTCACCCTCTAGAAACTGTAATCTCTCACCTCTTCTGGTGTAACATCCTATGGTGCTGGGGTGGCTTAGTGTGTGGCTCAGTGCCTGGAGGCTTTGAGCTCAGATCTGTACCTTTCTACATGTGGTGCAATTCAAAGTAACTGACAGCTTCTCCAAGGCAGGTCCTGAGGTGTGGGTCATAGGAACCATGAGACAGGAGTGATAACATGATAATGTTGATGGGCAAGATCCAATTTGATATAACTTGCTGAAATTATTATGGTTTTGGTCATCGATAGGGATGTAATTTAATTAAGAGGTATGTTCTGTCTTGTACTGTAAGGTTTGTGAGCTAGCTCTGGCTTTTCTAAGGACCTTTTTAAGGTGGTGAAGTAGGAAACTTCATGGTTAACACATACTGGCTGAAAGGAAACTTCCTACATGACTGGCCTCTCTGTATCCAGCAGTGGCTGTGGTGGGA